TGGAGATAAGAGTCTCATGGACTTTCCAGCCCCAGCTGATGTTGAACCTTTATCCTCAGATCTCAGCCTCCTGAGTAAGTAGGATTAGAGGCATGAGTCATCAGTGCCTGGCAAGATTCTTTTTTTGGGGGGGTGGGAGGTCTGGTTGTGGGGCCTGAACTCTGGGCCTGGGCGCTGTCCCTCAGCAGTTCAGCTCAAGGCTAGCGCTCTACCACTTGAGCCACAGCACCACTTCCAGCTTTTTTCTTTTTGCTTATGTGGTGCTGAGGAATCGAACCCAGGGCCTCAGGCATGCAAGGCAAGCGCTCTACCACTGAGCTACCTTCCCAGTCCGGCAAGATTCTTAATGATTCAGAACTCTTAGAAAGTTGTATTATACAAGTTGTTCATATATCAGAAAAGCAACAAATACGTACTTTTGGATAAATAAACCACATAGATAATACAAAGCCAGTGAGATTTGGAGAGTTACTAAAACAAGAGTTAGTAATCAAAGGTAATTAACTGGTACTAATTTCCCAATATATAAGTAATCTAAATAAGTTATTTGAAATCTTTTCAAGAATATAGGATAATTTAATAGAATTTCTAGAAAGCCTAACATGGGTGAAGAATTGTTTTTCTTTTTCTTTGACTGGTGAATTCATAGGTTGCTGATATTTTTATCTGTTCTCAATTTGTCCTTCTGATTAAAATTCATTGAGGAATGGGAACATATAATATGGTTTTACACTAAATTGTTAATATAATTGTATGTATCATGGCTATTTTGAAAGAACATAAATTTCATCTTCCAATTGATCTTTTATTTTTCAGATTCTGTCACTTATGCCCATACACAATACATGCCTTTTTAATTGACAGTTTTCAGTTTCATAATGATTATGCATAATAGTACTTGTCTTTTATGTGTTTGGTGTTCGGGTTTGTGGTGTTCTGATTACAAGTCTCATTTTATTTGGTCTGTCGTGGGGTTTGAATTCTAGGCCTGGGTGCTGTTCCTCAGCTCCTCATCTCAAGGCTAGCACTCTACCACTTCAGCCACAATGCCACTTCCGGCCTTTTCTGTTTATGTGGTGCTAAGGAATCGAACCCAGGGCCTCATGCATGTGAGGCAAGCACTCTACCACTGAGCCACCTTCCCAGCCCCAAGTCTCATTTTTTAAAAAGAATTATCTGCCTATGGGTCAAATCCATAGCAGATACAAATCAAAAGTCAGAGTATAATATATTAATGTTTTCAATAAATTCTTCAAATATGGACTGTAAAATTAACCATTGTAATTTTCAACTACCCTGTCCTGTGCTCTGCTGGATTTCTCAAGGGAATGATTCCCCAGAAATAGGGGCAGAATAATGGATGCTGAAGTTTTCAACTGCAAAATTTCAGAATTCTCTGTCATATGAAAAGTAAATGGTATTCATTTTATATTAAAAAAAAACAGCAAGTGTGTTTACTGTAAAAAGTTCAGAAACCAGATATGAGCATAATGAAGAAAGTAAGTCAACTGTTACTCTACCATCCAGAGATATCCATTGCTTTCAGTGATGTCAATTTTATTTTTATATGATTCTTTGTAAAAGTGAGGTCATATTGCACTACTGTTTTATACACTGATTTTTCTCAGGTAGAAACCTTTTCTTAGAATTATTGGGTTGCAAGAAAATACTTCAAATTAGAGTGAGGCAGGGAATTAGGTTCTGATACGAGGATTTGCATTCAGCACAGATAGGCATCATTTTGTAATCCCAGTGCCAGCACCACTGTACTTTCTGTGTGTCTTGAAATTATTGATGAAAAACTTGAATTTAGATTATCTCTCATTAAATTTGTAATAATTTAATTTATATTATTCCTGGCTCAATTAGCAATAATTTAGTCCAGTGGTGTAAATGGATGAGACAATGATACCCCATAAGTAGAGCCAGTAATTTAATTTCAAAGTAATTATGAACAAGATGCATACTCTAAACATCTCTACTATAATACTGAGCCTCTTTCATTATCATCATATATTTACTCTAACATTTTCCCTTTTGGGGTGCTGAGAATTAAATCCAGGGCCTCACCTATCTATCACTGAATTTTATACCAGCATCCACTACATCACTTCAAGGACTTCATAATATGTGCAATAATCTGTGTAAGTAATTTTCTCTTTGGGGTGTTCAGGTTTTGCAGGCATGCACAAAGTTGTGATGTTTGTTTTTATATCTTTGGAAACATCTATATTTTCTTTTATCTCTTCTCCTTCCTCCTCCATACATATATACATATGTAGATGTATTCATATGTATGATGTATATATGTACATCTTTTAGGCCTATCTTCCACAAATGATTAAAAACATGACATTGGGTCTCTCGTTTCTTTGTTTTTTGTCAGTTGTGGGGACTGAACCCTGGGCCCGGGTGTTGTCCCTCTGCTCTTCGGCTCAAGGTGACCATTCTACCACTTGAGCCACAGTACCACTTCCGGTTTTCTGGTGGTTAATTGGAGATAAGAGTTTCAAGGACTACTTTCTGCCTAGGCTAGGTTTGAACCTCGATCCTCAGATCTCAGCCTCCTGAGTAGCCTAGGATTATAGGTGTGAGCCACCGGCGCCCAGCTCAATAGTTGGTCTTTTGAGCTTGGTTTATCACACTCAACATGAAGATCTTGAGTTTAGTTCATTTAAGAATTTAATCTTCTAAATTAAAATCTTCAATGGAAAAATCATTGAGCAATGAGTACAGTAAAGGCTACCAGGTATCCATTAAAAGCAAGTCTGTTTCTTCTTCTTTCTAAATACATGGCTGCCTGACTAATCTGCACTTTCCAACCTTTTATGCAGGTAAGTGTGCCTGTGAGACTGTGTTTTCACCAGCAGAATGAGCAGAAGTGATGTGCACCATTTCTAGGCCTGGTCCACACAAGACTGGGGCTACTTTATGTTCTTCTTCCCACCCTTTTCCTGCTACCTGGGGTTTGATTATGCTGGTGACCTAGTTTTGACCCTGAACCTGACAGGAGGTGTCACACCACCTCCTGCTAATCTGGACACAGTGAGACAGGAAAAAGGAAACAGTAAATAGAGGTAAGTATCTATAGTGTGATGTGAGCCTCACTAGAGGCCCCAAGTAAGGGATCAATCTACCAGAGACTGAAGTCAAAGTATGCTGATTACCTTAGGTTTTTGTTACATTGATGAAAAACTGACTAACACATTAATCTCTAAAGTCTTTGGTATGAGAGAACCAGTTAGCTTCAGTATATATGATTTTCGTGATCATGACATATAAAGTGTATTTAAAGCTTGATTGTAAGTTTAAACATTTTATTTGTAGGACATTAGCCATTCATAAGAACTTTAGTTCATATTTGTTTGTTTTGATTGGGATTCAACCCGGACTTATGTTTGTGAGGTAAGCACACTACTGCTGAGCCCTACTTCTTAAGCACTTTGTACAGTGTAACTTCAATTTTGTTTTGTGCTAGTAAATGGTAGAATAAGTGACTCTGAATTATGTTCTCACTGAAATACATCTGTGTCTACAGAGTAATTTTATTTAAGCTCTAAGCAATTCAGCTTGAATATGCACACTATTTCCCTAATGAAGTCATTTTTATTAAAGCAGTTATTTATCTTTGAGGATTTCATTATCTAGTTCCTATTTTTCAGACCCTACCTAAAAAGTGGCATTAAGTAGGTTTCATTATTAAAATAGAATCTAGCAAAAAAACATAACCCTGAACTTTGGTGAAACAGTGGTGCTGTAGAATATTGTCTTATACCATGAAATATTTTCTAAGTTACATTTTCCAGGATTATTCATTATGCGTTGTTTAACAATCTTTGATATAAAAGGCATGCTTATTGGTTTGCAATGTATACATTATTTTACCATTTTGCTGTGAAAGGACAAATAATGTCTATTTCCCTTTGTAATTAAATAAGAAATGCTAAAAGAGACTCAATAATTTCATTAATCTTTTGTCAAGTGTTGGATTGATTATGACTTCAAAAGTTACTGAAAGTGCTACAGAGGTTGTCTTCATGTTCTAGATACTTAGTGTCCAAGTGTATACTTTGACAAAATATTTGGCCAATATCTCAAAAATATTAACCCTAATATTATTGCCTGAATAATAAGAGTGGATATACATCTACATTCAAAATAGTCTTATTGACAGAAAAATAATGGGCCAAATATTCATACATTATTGTATCTTGCAATGTTGATTTAAAAAAATCTTAGCATGTTAACTGAGAGAAATGGAAGATATGAAAGCATGCCAAAATTTTATTTTCTGCCCTAAGTATTATTTATTTAAATTGGAATTTTCTGTCCAGAAATTTTTGTATGTATGTTTTGACGGTACTAATCTGGCTAAAAGCACTTCATAAATGCTGGGCACTGTTGGCTCATGTCTGTAAGCCTGGCTACACAGGAAGTTGAGATCTGAGGATTAAAAGTCATCCAGGGCAGGAAAGTAAATGAGACTCACATCTCTAATTAACCTGTACTCTTCAGCTCAAGGTGAGTGCCCTACTGCTTGAGCCACAGCGCCACTTCTGGTTTTCTGAGTGTTTTATTGGAGGTAAGAGTCTCACTGACTTTTCTTGCCCAGGCTGCCTTTGAACCGTGATCCTCAGATCTCAGCCTCCTCAGTAGCTAGGATTATAGGTGTGACCCACCGGTGCCTGGCTTTCAATCTTATTTTTAGGTTTAGGAAACAGAAGTGATTGTGTCTCACATCCAGTGATTTTTTTAATGCCTAGATTCTCCATTAGAGACCACAAAAGCATCCCTGTGAGTTTTTAAAATGTTTTTTTTTTCAATTTTTTTAAGGCTTCCTGTGATCTCATCAGAAGGTGGGGAGATCTTACTCCTCCTCTGTCTCCTGCTGTAGAATGCTTCCTCCGTGCAGAACTGCTTGGTCTTCGTGAGGTACAGGAAACTGTTTAGAGACTCTGGAAAAAAGGCAGGCCACTTGTGGTAGTTGTAAATGAAAATTGATGAACAATCATCAACTGGAATTGGCAAAGCAGCTACACAAAGAGGGAAATCTCTTCTACTGTACCTGTAGGATCCTGCCTTGACTTGGACCATCTAGTCCCCTGCTTTTCCTGCTCCTGGGAGGTACCAGGATTCCATACCACTGACTCTAACTGCTCCTTCATGCCTAGACCTTGCACTGCTTTCTGAGTACACCACTGCCTATTCTTAGGTGCACCCTACTTTTGCTTCATCCTACACTTCTATTTCTTCCCTGTGGCACGATGCATAAAAGATGGAAAAAGTACTGCAGCCAGAAGTCTTTGAATGAGGCATCAATGGATGAATATTTAGGCAGTTTAGGGCTGTTTCGAAAACTGACTGCCAAGGATGCCTCTTGCCTCTTTCGGGCTATTTCAGAGCAGTTATTTTGTAGCCAGGTCCATCATTTACAAGTCAGGAAGGCTTGCGTCTTATATATGAAGGAGAATCAACAAACTTTTGAGTCTTATGTGGAAGGATCTTTTGAGAAATACCTGGAACGTTTGGGAGATCCCAAGGAAAGTGCTGGCCACCTGGAAATACGAGCTCTTTCTCTCATTTATGATCGGGATTTCATTCTTTATCGCAGTCCTGGAAAGCCACCAACTTACGTCACAGATAATGGCTTTGAAGACAAGATTGTACTCAGCTATACAAATAATGGTCATTATGATTCTGTGTACTCAAAACAATTTCAGACAAGTGCAGCCATTTGTCAGGCTGTACTGTATGAAATGCTATATAAAGATGTATTTATCGTAGATGAAGAAGTGTTGGAAACTGCAATTAGTTTGTTTCGAAGTGGTTCCAGGAAGAATAGAAACAATGCTGTGACTGGAAGTAAGCATGCTGATACTGATCCGAAGAGTTCAACTCAGGATAGGACTGAAGAGTGTGTAGCCTACTGCAGTGTTGAAAATATCCCAGAGGGATGTACTCAAGGATCAGAAGAACCAAAGTCTCCAGAAAATCTGCCAAAGTTGCTCTTCCCCTTTAAGGTGCTCAAAGCCCTCGATCCAGAAATCTATCGTAATGTAGAGTTTGATGTTTGGTTAGATAGCAGAAAAGAACTCCAGAAATCAGATTACCTAGAGTATGCTGGGAGACAGTATTATTTGGGAGACAAGTGTCAGGTTTGCTTGAAATTAGATGGAAAATACTATAATGCTCACATTCAGGAAGTAGGAAATGAGAATAACTCAGTAACAGTTTTCATTGAAGAACTGGCAGAAAAGCATGTTGTTCCACTGGCTAATTTAAAACCAGTTACCCAAGTGGCATCTGTTCCTTCCTGGAATGCTGTACCAAGTCGGAAAGGAAGAGGCTACCACAAAATACCTGGGAGCTATGTCCCGGAAATAGCTATGTCCGAGATGAGCATAAAGCAGCGGAAGAAGAGCTTCAAAAAAGGTCGAGGGAAGGAGGTCTATATGAATATGGCTTATAGCAGAGGAGAGCCCATGCTCCCACCTCGGCTTCACCATGGAATGCGTTACGGACATGGTCCGCCGCTGCAGTACTCTCAGCTGGCTGGCAATGTTCCAGCTCCAGTCTTACCTAACTGTGCAGCAGGTGATCAATCTAGTAGTACCTCATCCGTGTCCTCACAGAATTGTTTACAGCCTGTGTTTGTCACTCCACCTACACACGGCAAGCCAGGTGCTATGGCCTCTCTGCCACCACCACCACCTCTGCCACCACTACCACCACCTCCACCACTTCCTCCTCCCCCTCTTGAGGTAGGAGAAGCTTCTAACCTACCACCACCACCTCCACCTTATTCATGTGATCCGAATGGAAGTGATCTGCCTCAAGATATAAAAGTTTTGCAGTATTATTTCAACCTGGGATTGCAGTGCTATCACCACAACTACTGGCATTCTACATTCTACATGCCACAAATGCAGCCACAGCAACTTCCAATCTTCACTGAGTCACCTCTGGTAGAGCAAACTGTTCCTCACTTATACAATGAGGTAGAGACCGCCGATGGCACACAGGCAGAAGCATCGACAAATAATACTTTTCCAAATGCTGACCCTGCATCTGTCCCTCATGGAACAGTTTATTATCCAGTAATGTCAGATCCTTATAGACAGCCACCTTTGCCAGGTTTTGATTCCTGCTTTCCTCTTGTGCCAGATTATCCCTATGTTACCACCTGGCATCCAGTTGGTGCAACATATGGTGGTTCTTCACAAATCCATGGTGCTATAAATCCTGTCCCAGTTGGCTATACAGCTTCACCTCACTTGGCTTCTCATTATATACCTCAGAATATGTAAGATTCAGAAGCATAAGGTATTATTGCACTGCCATTTGATTGCTATTTGTTTTCTTAAGGTGTCTTATGTATAAGTAATTTTTGTGGTAGAAGGGTGTATTGTATCTGCCTTTAAGATTTTTTTAAATTTAAAGCAGTCCTTTAAAATGAAGAATGTTACTTTTGAGTTTTTGAATAAGAAAATTGAGAAGGATGCATAACTGGCCTTATATTGTTATTTTTCTTTTTTGAATAAAAAAAATTGAGAAGGATGTGTAACTAGCCTTAGATTGTCATTTTTTTTATCAGCCAGCTTCTCAACAATGTATTAGTTGATGTTGCCAGTTGACAAATGGAGTAAATTGTACCAAAGGAGGAAATTGGAGATGGAGAAAAATAAGGGAGGGAAATAAAGTACACACAGAGTGTGAATAGATGTTTTTGCGGAGACTTCTTGGAATGATTCGGGGAACTTAGGCAACAAAAAGTAGGCAGGGGCTGGGAAGGTGGCTCAGTGGTAGAGCGCTTGCCTTGCATGCTCAAGGCCCTGGGTTCAATTCGTGGCTCAGTGGTAGAGCGCTTGCCTTGCATGCTCAAGGCCCTGGGTTCAATTCCTCAGCACCACATAAGCAAAAAGAAAAAAGCCAGAAGTGGTGCTGTGGCTCAAGTGGTAGAGCGCTAGCCTTGAGCTGAAGAGCTGAGGGACAGCGTCCAGGCCCAGAGTTCAGGCCCCACGACCAGACCAAAAAATAAATAAATAAATAAATAAAAAGTAGGCATACTTGAGCTGGTGGATCACGCCTGTAATCCGAGGATCGAGGTTCAAAGCCAGCCTGGGCAGGAACTGTGGGGCACTTATCTCCAATTAGCCATCAGAAAACCTTAAGTATCGTTGTAGCTCAAGTGGTAGAGGGCTAGCCTTGAGCCAAAGAGCTGGGGGACAGCACCACACCCAGAGTTCAAGCCCTATGATCAAACAAAAAAACAAGTGGAAATTCTATAAAGTACTTATAGATTTAGAAGATAGGCATAGAAATTTGAGTAAGGAGGAGAATAATGTGTAGGGACAGAAACTTACAAGGCATCAAAGAAGAGAGAAGAGTTAGGTGTCCGTGGCTCACACCTATAATCCTAGAAATTCAGGAGGCTGAGATCTTAAGAATTTTTGGTTCTGTGCCATCCCTGGCAGAAAAGTCCATTAGACTCTTATCTCCAATTAACGACCAAAAATCCAGAAGTGGAGATGTAAGTTGAGCTGTGGCTCAAGTGCTAGAGTGCCAACCTTGAGCAAAAGTGGTATGGACAGCAGCCAGGCCCTCAGTTCAAGCCACAGTAACAGCACCAAAAAAAAGGTGGGGGGAACCACATGACTACCTGTATGGCGTCACCTACACGTAGGGAGTGACAAGAACAGGCAATGAGAGGTACCCCACGTGCTTCAATGAGGTGAAATCCTCTATGAGGAAATTAGGTTGCTATGCTTTCCATCTGGCCCAGCTAAAGTATTCCATCTCTGGAGCTGTGGAGCTATTGTTGTTTGTGTATATAACATACACAAAGAGCTATAAATTTAGTCTTTGTCTCCCTCCCCTGAAGGAATACGCTGCTCAATTAGACAGTTGTTTTTATTTGAAGAAAAAAACTCAATGTAATTTTGTCTTCTCAGGTTCAAGTCCATTTGGTAAAAGTTTACATTTCTGACAATAATTTTATTTTCATGATAGATTGGTTATTTCTCGGTGAGAATGATAAGAGAGAATCCAGGGACTGGGTATAGAAAAATAGAGACAAAGAAGATGGTGACACTTCCCTTTTTGCAACTACATATCAGGAGAGAGAAAATGAGGAAAAGGCAAATGGAGGCTTTAGTATAACTGGATGAAACCTGTGTTGGAGAAGTGTTCACTGAATTTAGTTCACTTCATTATGTTCAGAAAAGAAGATTGTTCCTTACATAGGCTAAGATACTCTGCCTTATTTTAGCAGCTGAATATACAAAAGGGTGCCTAATGTATCTTCTAGATTAACAGGACTGCAGGAGTATAGGTTTTAATAATGCACAGTATAACATTTCACTCACTTTTAACTAGACATGTACATACTCAGCTTTCCTCTCTTCTTTACCTGTTGTATTACCTGCCTGTAGTATTCTTATTTCTTACATGTCTAATTCATCCTTTAATAGTGAACCAACTTATCTACCTTTGTAAACTCTTCTGCCACGTAGGATAAAGCAATTTGACATTAACATTCAGTGCATATTTTTTTATTATGAAAATGCTGTACCGAGGGTTTACAATTATTTGGGCAAGGTAATACATATGTATATAGTTGAAAAGCAATCTACTATTTTAAAACGGTTCTTATGTACAACTTTAAATATTTTTATGAATAGTATGAATTTTTATATTTGTTGAGACAGGGTCTTGCAAGATCATTGCCCAGACTGACCTTTAACTTATGATCCTCCCATGCTGATATTATTACCTAAGATTTTTTCACACTAAGTATATAAAATATGGTAGCTAATTTAAAATTTATTTGAAAGAAAAATAGTTTTATGAAGGCAATACATATTTAAAATGTTTTTAAAAATGTAAACAATCCATGGATCCAAAGGAGTTATGCAAATAACTCCTTGCACAATAAAATGACCATCTCTAAATTTTTATTTGCTTAATATCCAGTTATGAAAGTATATAATCTTATAAAATGATTGACAAGGAATTATTTTTATAATTTTGATAAATAATAGTCAATTAAAACTTGATGAAAAAAAGAAAGAAACTGAGTTGGTAAACTTGAAGTAGGTTTTCTGTACCAGAAAAGCTAGGTTTCTGAAAAAGAATTTTTTTAAGAGTTAAGAATTTCCTTTAGAGTTGTATATGTTATATATACACCATATCCTTAACGCTAAAGATCCTCAGATGTCAGCCTCCTGAGTAAGTAGGATTACAGGTGTGAGCCACCAGAACCCAGCTAAATCTTATTAAGAAATCTGAATCCTGTCTTTAAACTTTAAGCTCTGCACAGTATTGGCTATGGAAGACTGAGTCGTTTGTGCATTACCATTCACCACCCTACCTTGGATTGGTATTGCTGGCAAGATTAACTTTGTAATGTCCAGCTTAATCATACTCATATTTTATTCTTGGATCAAAACACCTAACATTTTTCAGGTGCATCTTTTTTTTTGTCGGTCATGGGGCTTGAACTCTGGGCCTGGGGCCTGTCCCTCAGCTCTTCAGCTGAAGGCGAGCACTCTACCACTTGAGCTACAGCGCCACTTCCAGTTTTCTAGTGGTTTATTAGAGATAAGAGTCTCACGGTCTTTCCTGCCCAGGCTGGCTTTGAACCGAGATCCCCAGATCTCAGCCTCCTGAGTAGCTAGGATTACAGGCATGAGCCACTGGTGCCCAGCGCATCTTTATTCTTAAGAGGATTATGCTCCTGTTGATCCTTCATCCTGCTGTTTTGTGCACATCTTCTAGCTGACTGAACTTTACTGACATGCTTTTATTCCAGGAAGGATTTATGGTCAATGTCTTCCCTGAGTTTCTGTACTCTTCAGAATACGGGTCTTTTACAGTTACGGGATAACTTGGTTAAGAATACAATTTAAAGTCACATTTCATTGTCCTCAAACATAAACATACTGCTTTCTAGCACTCAGGTATTACTACAGAGAAGTCTGGGGAAAATTCAAAATTGGTCCATCACATATTTCAATGTACATTCTGTAGCTGCTGATGTTTTGAACAGTTTGCTCTTACTCTGCAAATCTAGTCTTTATTTCCAGAAAGTTTAATTCATCTAAAAAAAAAATTGGAGCAGGAACTAGCTGGTGGCTCATGCCTGTAATCCTCACTACTCGGGAGACAGATCTGAGGATCACGGTTTGAAGCTAGCCCAGGCAGGAAAGTCCTTCAGACTGCTATCTCCAATTAACCACAAGAAAACAAAAAGTGGCACTGTGGCTCAAAGTGGTAGTGCTCTTGCCTTGAGCAAAAATGCTCAGCATCCAGGCCCGAAGTTCAAGCCTCATGACCGACACCCCCCCCCAAAAAAAAAGACCCCATTGTTTTTTTAAATTTCTACTTATTTCTGAACTGGTTTATTCCATATGCCTACATGAGATCTTCTTCCCTTATCAAATATTTTTTTTGTTGGTTGTGGGGCTTGAACTCAGGGCTTTAGTGCTGTCCCTGAGCTCTTTTGTTCAAGGCTAGCACTCTAACAATTTTTTTTCCAGCTACTGCTCTACATCTTGTAAAGATTCTTTTTTTTTTAATTATGAAAATACTGTACAGAGGGGTTACAATTACATGGGCAAGGTAATGAGTACATTTCTTATCAAGCATTGTTGCCTCCTCCTTTGTTTCCCCTTC